ATAGATATAGCATGAAATGGAGTCAGTCTGTGTTTCAGGAACAGACAGTGAGAATGTTGCTGGAAATTACAACAGGAAAATTATGGTTGGAATACAGGACATGAAAAGAACACTAGAATAAGAGCCCCTAATAAACTATAAGACCCTGCAACTCAAAATGTCTGTAATGTTATGAGGTAAGATATAGGATGGAAGATATCAAAGAGCACCTCTATTTCTAAAATTCTCTTATTTCTGTTAATTACCAGTAGAAAACTGTAGACTTCTCAGTGGCCCCTGGCAGCATATGTAGAAGCAGCTTGCCCTAGGCTTCAGAGTCAGAGATGTCAGATAGACCAGATGAGCACCCTGGCCTCTCCACTTGCCATTCACAAAACTTGGAGGAAAATATCAAATCCTACTGAAACTCAGTCTCCCCATATGTAAATTAGAATCGTCATGTCTACCTTACTAGAGTAGAATAAGGACTAGGTTGTAATATAAATAGAATAATGTGCCAATTATTAAGCTATTTCAGCTTCAGACTCATCCTTGCATGCTCCGCTTTGTGATGCTGGAGACAGGACTTGGGGAGCTACTTTTCTCCTTTGAGATGGTATTCCCTGCAGATTTTTCCAATAGGAGGCACTTAGACACAGAAGTGGGGAGAAGGGATTTGCTCTTTCCTGAATGCATGGCTGCAGCAGTGCCTCTTTACTCTGGTAACAGTATTTGGGTCCGTTTCCAGCCTATTTGAGCACACCCAAAACCAATCTCATCACATCCCTTGGGCCATGCAGGGCCCTTTCTCCAAGCTCCTAGATTCTAATAACTGCAACTTCCTCTTTTGTTCTCCCAACAGTAGGGTTAAAAACTGTTCTGTGTTATCTGTTACTGCTTCTATGTTACCTCAATGTCCCCTTTTGCCTTTTTAGTCCCCCAATACTTGTTTAACTAATTTCTTATTTTAAATCATCTCTATCAAGATATCTGTGCTTTTCATTCTCTTGATGCATACTGATACAAGTAGAACTATAAATATGAGTATAATATTCATAAATAAATAGAAATATAGCACTAAGCACAATGCCTGCCCACATAAGTACTTAGTCAACATTAATTTTGGTATTATTAACAAAAATTATAATTAAAAAAAGCAATATAAGTGAAAATTTAGGTTATCTCTTCCGAGTAAGGTCTGGTTAACCTGATGTAACATATTCAGGTCCTTGAGCTCAGCTAGATTTTATTTTTCCTTCCTTGTATTATTTTCTTATTGTGTCCAATTCCAACATGCTAAGGAGGACAACTCTGCTCATTCCATGGGTGTTCTTAAGGTGACAGCCCAAGGCTGTTTGTGGCGTCTGATCTCTCCCATCTATGCAGGATACTTAAGACAATCTGTGTTCAGGCAGCCTCTTCCCCTCTGCCGCAGAGGACACCATGTCCTGACCAAGGCAGCATCTCATTTGAATCCATAATGTCTTGTTACTAGTGACTACTTGGCTTTATTCTCCTGGATTCTTACTATGAAACTATATCTCCTATATTTTAAATTAAGCTTTATACATTTTTTTCTTGTTGTTATCTTCAGTTTTATAATTAAAGATCCTGCCCTCTCTCTTATTGATGTGCTTGTGAAATTATTTTGACCCTAGTATAAAGAATGTGTTCAATCATTGGCTTATGGTAGGACGGGCAGAATTCCTTCTTCTTAGGAATGTTTAAAAGCAGAATCTCCCTTAACATGAAACAACCTATCTTTCCCTGCCAAATTTAGAATATAATCATTGCCAAAAAAAAGACAAATATTTCAAACTTCCAAAGTCATAAAAACTTGTATATCATATAAAATTCCTTAAAGTAGTAATATTTTCTTTTAAATAATAATATTCAATGAGCAATTTGATAACAACTATATAATCCTATCGCTTCCTTTCCTTGAATCTTTTAATAACTCCTCTTTAAGGTCAGAATACTTTTATTTACTTACGTATTTACTTCTTTGTTATAATAAAAGGCCTTTTACTAGCTTGTCACTATCCACTTATATGGCCTTGTGTAATACCACTAGCCCTGCATCCCAATTCAATCTCCTAATAGCTGTTTTCTTTTGGTCAAGTTATGGTTCTTTTACAAAGGAATATTTACAAATTGAGCATTCCTAATAAAAAAAAATCTGAACTCCTAAATGCTCCAAAATCTGAAATGTTTTGAGCACCGACATGACGCCGTAAGTAAAAAATTCCACACCTGACCTCACGTGATAGGTCACAGTCAAAACACCATCAAATCTTTGTTTCATGAACAAAGTTACTTAAAATATTGGATAAAATTACTTTCATATACATAAGGTATATATGAAACTAAATGAACGTTGTGTTTAGACTTGAGTGTCATCTTCAAGATATCTTGTTATATATATATATATAGAAATATTTTAAAGTCTGAAAAACTCCAAAATATGAAACACTTCTGGTCTCAAGCATTTTGGATAAGGAATACTCACCCAGTACTGCGTGCTACATACTCTGAGCTATCTGCTGTTTCATGCATTATCTCACTAATGCTCTTTGAGGTGGACACTATCATTTTCTCCATTTCACATATGAGAATACTCTTGAGCTTCGTCTCAGATATAAATATCCACCATGAAGTGGGTTGTGAAGTGAGGGGCCTTACTTACCAATTGCAGTTCACCGCATGATGCAGGCATTGGGGAAAAAGAGCTATTAAAATCACTACTAACCCCAGAAATGATGCATGCCAAATTAATGACTGATACCAGCATGCAATAAGCCTGTAAGTGAATAAAATCAGTGTAATGGCTTTTTTGTATTTTCTTGACCTTTAAAAATTTTCTCATTGCCTTAGGATTGTTTTCAGGCAGGCCTAGAAATAAATATCACGGAACGCTCTGGTTTCTGTATTCCCCTACTGACCTATAAATAGTATTTCACCAAACTGGACATGAGAGAGCTGTTGAGAGCTGTCAAGAGCAGTGATTCAATCTTGAGGAGCACACTCATTATCCAAACCCTTTCCCTCTGCTTTCCCCTGAATTTGCGTCTCAGACCCTCTTGTCCACTCATTAATAACTCTCTCATAGCAACTCTTCTGTTTGTCTTCCTCAACTGAGTCAATATCTTTCAAACCTCAAATGGAGATTTTTGCCCAAAACGTTATGTTTCAGTTGATTGGGAAATTCAGAAGTGCTTAAACTTCAGAAATCTATATATAAACATCAAAAGATCTTTTGTTCATATTTTTAGTTCTTCATTTCTCTGGTATGTCTTAAAAAGCAAAAAAATTTAGTCTTTGTTCTTATTAAGCAGACTGGAAGCTTATCATTTTGCTAATCAAAGGAAGAGAATGAGAAATAAAACAGTGCTAAGGGGACATAGTAATGCATTGTTTGAAATTTAAAAGTGAGAGAAAGAAATAAAGGGAGGAGAAAAGGGAGGGGAGGGGGAAGAGCTGAAAGAAGTTAGAAGTGATAGAAAAGAGAAAGAAAAGATAAGAGGTAAAATCCAACTCAGAGGCCATCGCTTTTGTAAAACCTACACTTACCTCGGAAGAAATAAGAACCACTTGCTCAGGGTTCCCAGAATCTTTTTTCCCTTTTTTTAAATTTTGCTAACTTTGTGCACAGCATCTTGTATACTGGTTGCCTACATGTCTTTCTTCTGTTATCATAAGTACCCTGAGGTCAAGAATCATGTCACATGCATCTTTGTAAAACCTAAGCATGTTTATAATTCAGTTAAAAAATGCTGAATTGAAGTGGGATGTCCAACTGACAGGGGTGATTGAAGATTACAAATGCCACAGAATTGTTGCTATCATTGTGCCTTATGCTAATTCAATAGCTTGTTTTGTTCACTCAGAGATGGGAAATGTTTCTTAAGGTTTGCATGTTCTGGAACTCCTCACATAAACTGGTTTTGTGCTTCTGATCTCAGGCTCTACAAATCCTCCCCCTCACTCAGGATTGTCAGTCAACAAGATTCATTTAGCCTCTATTGAATGAGGACCAGATTAGGGGCTGAAAAGGTGTAGCAGACCTAGATTTCTTCTTTGGGAAACTCACAATTTAAGGAGGTTAAAAGTAGAAATCAAAATGTTTGTGAGATATTCATATTGACACTATAAACAGGAAGGCTGTTTTTTCTCTCCTTCATTCTGCAATCTATATAAAATTTTATTCTCATTGTCTATCCTCCAAAAATTACTTGAATTATCAATTTCTCAATTTCTACCTGGCTATTTTCCCACCCATATGCTTCCAAACATTTCTAATCTGGTCACTACTCAAAAAAAGAATATGTGGAATTACATTGTTGTCAAAGACTTGAATTATATAGTCCAAAATGGTTTTTCAATGAACAAGAATAACTCCTTTCTACAGTAATAATCTCTACCCAGGGGAGTTCAAAGAGTAATGCTCATTTGCATACTACAATGGAGTAATACTATTTTAGTATTACTTAGAAGTTAGAATTTAGTATTCCTTAGTTCTCAATATTTAGCTTTATTTAGTCCTAACTATTGAGTAATACTAAATAGGAGGCTTGTTTAGGAAGTGAAGAGTTTAGTAGGAAGTGTAAGAGTTTTAATTCCCTAGAAATCCAACAAGATTTTCCAGAAAGCACATTTTCAAACTCTTCTTTTATTCTTTTCCAAAGCCAGCGATAAGAACATTTGCTTCAAGTCTTTGAACTCTGAGCTCACATTTATTCAGTAGTCTATATTCCCATATGATCATATTAACATTGACCTAAATTGTAGTCACATTTACATTGACATATATGTTTCTTTCTTTCTTTTCTTTCTTTCTCTTTCTTTCTTCTCTCTCTCTCCCCCCCTCTCTCTCTCTCCTCTCTCCTCCTCTCTCTCTCTCTCTCTTTCTTTCTTTCCGGAGCAAGGACATCTTTCTTAAGACAGCCTCACCCAGGAGAGGAGGCTGTGGGTTTCAGAATAAAATAAACTACGGAAAAATCCAGTTGTATGGAGACACTTACATTGAAGTCATACAACACACCAAAGTTGGCTGCCGATGCCTCTTCGGCCCTGGGAACTGTTTTCCTAGGTAAACTGCCATATGGCAAACCCCAGAGGTACTGTATAGGGAAGCAAAAAAAGCAGAGAACAATTAGAAACAAAATCTGAGGCACACATGAGATCACAAATGGTTTTGCTTAAAAGTCCTTCTGAAACATTTTCATGGGGGATTCTGTGGGTCTCCATGTGGGGTCCCATTTTCTGGGAATCAACTACTAAATCCAGAGGTAAGAACAAAGGGAATGCAAAGGACTCTGCATTCTGAGTTCAGGGACCACCAGCAGTCAGGTCAACCACATTCCCCAGAGGGCTTTCTGAGGACCCCACTGCTACCACCACCACCAAACCATTCTGATTAAAAGTCTGGAAAGGAAGAGAAGTAGCCTTTCGGGTCACGTAGGACTCAACAAAACCATCTTACCCACACCTTCATGTGAGAATAGTCCTTAGGAGTGAGGGTGGAGGGAGATTCTGTCCTTCATATCAAGAAAGAGAACTCAAGGGAAACCAGTCATGAAATTTGTGGGTGTCTGCAAAGTGAGAACACTTCCACCCTGATTATGGTGTGCGCTTCATCACTAATTCAGGGCTGCTGCCTCCAATTCGTGCTACCAGATTGGGAGAGAAACATAGTAGAGAGAATAGTACTGGGGAGAATGGGCCAGTGAGCAGGCAAGAATAGGGTCATAGGAAGGTGCCCTGGTGAGAAGTGGAAATAGCACTTTCTAGCCCCATAGCTCACCAAGCAGATGTTGCTTCTTCAGTGAGATAGAAACTTCCCTCCTAAAGCTGGGAACAGAAGATGAATGTGGCTTGAAGCCTGGGTACAGAGCTTGACTGAGCAAGGGCTGGACATGAATCTCTGCTCACTTCCTGAGCACAAGTTGCACAATCTCCCCAAGTAGACCTTTGGCCCATCTGGCTTCCCGGTCCTAAAAGAATAGAGAGTGGGTTCCACACATATTATCTCACCCCAAAGTTGGGGGGCACAGAAGACAAAGAAGATTAAGGTCTTAGGCTTGCCCAGGGACACAGGACCTTGGGGCAAAAGGGCATGTGCCTTGGAGGAAGATTGAGTGAGCCTGTCAGGTAGAGGCAGTTGAAAAAAATACAGCCTTGCTGCCAGGAGATGACTGCCCTGGTCGCTGTGGTTTTGCACAGTCAGCATGCAGGGTGTCCATTCTCTTGTTCTTTGGCTGGAGTTGGTCATCATTGCCTAGAAAACAGGATGCCCCTCAGCATCTAATACAGCCTATAAAAGAGTATCCGAAGCCAGCATGCTTCCTAGCTCTTGGAATACATCAACCTAACAAAAAGGCACTCTATCTACTACACAGAAGACACTCTGTAATTTCATATCATTCAAATAAATCAGTGACAGCCTTTCATTTTCTCCACATGGAGGCAGCATGGTGTGGAGGAAAGAGTAAATGCAGCTGATAAAACTCCATTTATACCTGCATCTGACACTAAGTAATGTCATAGTAGCTAGTGATGGAATGGAGGAGTTTCAGGTTTCCTTAGAGAGGTAATATAAAAAAAAAAAAAGCTGGGGTTAATTTGAAAGAGATAAAATACCCACATTCAGCTGCACTGCCTGAAAGTGTGTACTTGGGAAATAAACTATACAGGACCTCTGATCTTTGGTCACTGTCTTCTATGAGCCAGACAACTTTATAAGCCCTGGAATTATCTCAAGGATTATAAAACTAGTGGATTAAAGTGCAGAATCTTGGGGAAAGGGATTGAATCATGGGTTCTAGTCCTAGATCCGCTTCATTAAAAAAAAAAAAATCATTCAGAGATGTTAGCTAAGTCACATCAGCATTATGTGACTCCATTTACATGTTTTAAATGGGGGAAGAAAATGTCTTCTACAGTCTACATCATAAATTTGTTGTGAGGCACAGAAAGTAAAAGAAGTGAAAGTGCTTTGTACTATTACAAGCTCAAATCTCGTTATGAATGTAAAGCATTATGATGATGCTAATGGGAGGCTCAGTACAGAAACTGGCACTGATTTGAAGTTATTGCGATAAAAAGTCACCCAAAAGACCAAATTTTGGCTGCTGTCAATGCTGTATGGACCAAATTGGCTTTGAAATACTAGTCCTAAAAGGTCCTTTGTAGGTTAAACAAAACCTAGTCCAACTTTTGTTGAGGTAAGCATTCAAAGGCATCAGAATCATTTAATTTCATATGGGTGGAGGCTCTGACCTCAAGCTAGCGACCCCACTTCCACTCTCATCCCATCCCACTATATGTGTGTGTGTGTGTGTGTGTGTG